CCCCCCCCCTTCTCCCAACAAACACACAGTCACACGTACACCTTCATCACTTTCACAGTAAACACACAAACTGATAAACACACATTTGGATGTGTGTTTTTGTTTTATCTGCAAAAGGCAGGTAAACATTTAGGGTTCGACAAGATTTGTCAGAACTCGTTTTTCTAGTGCAGCCACTTGCATGTAGCACACACGTTTTATGCTGTGACTTCATTTCAGACCGCACTGACTCTTCTGGTGCCGCCGTCATTTCAAAACTGCTGATTCTTAAAGAAGTCCAGTTTTCTTGGATCACAGCTTCTGTCGCTTTGACTTCCTTGAAGAGAACTGGGAGGGGGGGGTATCTTGGCACTGTGCCCCTGTGAGAATAGGAGCGCACAACCAAATACACCAGTTTACACAAACTTTAATTTAGGTCACTTGGTTCCTTCATAGATCCATATATGTCAAATAGCTCCTGCAGTCCCACTGTAAAACTGAGACCAAATACATCTCACCTGCTAACCTGTCATGTAAGCATCCATCCAGCCGTAGCCACCAACACACACATTTCACAAAATAAATAATCGCTGATCACAATCATCCAAATCTTCTTAATTCTATTTACATTAAGAATCCAATGTGGAAACTGCAGGAAAAGTGTCAAGTAATTATCTCTCCACTGTACATTCACTTTTGTTAGATGTCCTGTCACTTTGTCTCAGCAGATCACTTGCCTGCAGGTGCGATGCATTGTTATGAGATACATACGTTCACAGGACTTTCCAACAAACTGTTTACAATTTCCCCTGTTCATAAATATTAACGCTCTACATATCACAAAGATCTTCCCCAAGAAATTCCCCAAAAGGTGAAAAAAAACGGCTGATTTCGCAAAGTGAAAAAAATAAACCTGAATCCACCTTAATCAAGTCCGCTACAAAAGTGAATTGGTGATATCTTGGCTCATAATCCACCTTTCCAATAAGTTGCAATAACATTTGATTAGTGTTTGTTCTGCATAATCTTGCCGACACGAAAAACAAACAGACAAATAAGAGTTAGGGTCTCAACAACCATTTATTACACACACACACACACACACACACACTCATTCAGCATTCACAGCTCTTCTATATGCAGCACTTTTCTATCACACATTATTCTCAGTTTGACCGAACAGCATGAGGAGAGCAGCAGTAGCAGATTTAGGAGGATAAATGACCCCCAACTGCACCATCACCGTCCTTCCTACTCCCTCCATCTCCCACTTTTTTTTTTGCTGCTGCAGCTTGGCTCTTCTAAAACTCCCAGCTACTCCCACATTGGAGTATGTTTATTGCAGGAGTCCTGTGTATTTTGTTGTACAAACAAACAAAAGGCTCAGTGAGTTGGTGGGGAGGAGGCGATGGAAGAGACCGAGAGGATGCAGCGGATAAAGGAGGAGGTGGAGAAGGAGATGAACATGCACGAGGAGGAGTAGGAATGTTAAGAAATGCTGTGCCAGCTTCACTGACAGGGTCTTTAATTCTTTCACTTGGCTTTAAAGTGCACTCCTGAGTGGTGTGAAGTCCGCTGAGAGCCACTAAAATACATTTTGAAGAATTTATCCCGGCATGGGAACATTTTGCTTGAGTGCACCCCCCCTAGATTGCAAAGTTTTATGTAACAATTGCCAAAAAATTACAAGATAAGATGGCTGGGAATTATTTGGCGTGTGTAAGTGTGTGTGTGTGTGTGTGTGTGTGTGATTAGGGTTAGGGATGAACACCCATTGGAGGTCAAGATATTCTTCCATAACTTTCTTTCTGAAGGTCATAGAGNTGTGTGTGTGTGTGTGTGTGTGTGTGTGTGTGTGGGCATACTCATGTCTATTCATTACATCCCATAAACAGCCACAGCCACCCATGGTTTCATGAGAGGATGTTTTATTTGGTACTACATATTTAGATCTGACACAGTAAGTGTGTAGCCCTTGGGAGTGTGACCCTCACCCTTTGTCTATAATTTCTCCCTGATTCTCCCCCTTTTGTTTCCTGCCCTCTTCGTCTTCACTGTGTTCCCATAGCCGATATCTCCACTCCCCTCTATCCCCTTGTCTGTGGAGATCCAGGCTAATTAAGATGCCTGCCAACACCAGGCTACAACCTCCATTGATTCTCCCTGCCTTCTCCCTCCTCCATGATCCCCACACCCATGGTGGAAAGAAAAATCAACCCCCGACCTCCTGCACTAATGACCACAGCCTTTGATACGCAGCTCTTTTCTTGTCCAGATATATTGGGTGTGGCGACCTGACTGTCCCACAGCAGGGTCAGCCTGGCTGGGTCGAAACTCATGGTGCAGGGGCATCTCATCTCTGCCTGCTCTCCGCTTTTGCTGCTCTGATTCTCAGCTCTAATCGTGACCTTCCGGGGTCACAGGTCACCACCCAGGCCTGGCCACAGGTGACTGAGCAATAGTGAGGCTGATGGGATTGAAAGGTTAGGGATGGGGGGGAGAAGGAGAGTCAAAAATTGGGTCAGGAGATGATCACAAGGTGCGGTTCAGTTTAACAGCAGCCGCTCCGCATAATGACGACCAAATCATCTCGTGGTCTTTAGAGTTACTCAAGCAAAGTTTGATAAATGAGGATTCCACTAATTTGGCAGATTTAAAAGTAAAGAATCTAAATCAAATAAAGCAGAACCAGAGATACCACGTTTTTTATCCCACACGTTCATCTTCTGTCCACAATGCAACTCAACCACTTTGAGTTTGGTCAGAGATTTGGGTTTGTTATGGTAGCAGCAGAGATGAGGAATCGACAAGTGACACCACTTGAGGTAGTTAATCAGTCTTTCAGCTCCATCTGAGGCCACTTTATACAATTTGTTGACATATGCAGTGTTACTCCCAAAGATGTGTTAAATCACAGCAGCTCCCCTTTGAGAAGTCAATCTTCTGTCTCGTGAACCTAACAGTAAACAGCCAACTGTAAGTAATTTAAATCATTTACGTGATTATATCCTGTCGCTGTCTTTAAAGCGACTCGTCCGTTGCTGTTTGTCCTCGGGAGGAATAAAGAAGAAAAAGAGAAATGAAGAAGACGATGAGATACCATCTGTTTGTTTTTCTGCCTTTCTTTCCCAAGCTTGTTATCGTTCCTCATTTCCTGCTGGACGACAAGTAAATAATTCACATGTATACATGTACCAACACCGAGTCCAGGCCTCCCTGCCTCGCCTCGATTTTGGCCTCAGTTTCAAAGCTATTTCCAGCCAACTCAACCTCGGCGACTCCCCTCCAAATGGTGTGTAGAAAAAACAAACAAAAAATGTTCTCCCGACGTTCTGCATGCTCAGAGGGGGAAAAAAATGAGTCAGTAGCATTTTTCTGAGTGAGATATTCCATCATGCACATGACTCTGCAATCTCCTGCCCACGTTGATCCCGACCCAGCACAATCCATCTCTTCATGTTGGCTCTGAGCTCACTCCCAGGGGAGGCTGCTCAGCAATTGTCTCAGTTGTTTCGTTCTTTTCAGTGCCTCCTACTCTCTGAGGAACCGTTTGGGGTTTTGAGTGCAGATCATAAAAGTAGCTGAGCTCTGTTCTAATCACATTAGCAAGATGAAGGAATGCCTTGAGCAAAAAGTCCCTGTAGGATTGTTTCGGAAATGAGCTCGAAAGCTCACTTAGATATAGATCCTCAGCTTTGAGACATTTGGGATGGATGGTTTGCTTCAGTCTCTTGAGATACGTGCACTCAAAGCATCTTTTCTTTCCAGATCAATGTTCAGCTCTTCAGGTGTGATGCTGCAGATTGGAGCGAGTGTGACAATCTACCACTGACACTCCCCCCCTGGGATATGTTGTCTTTTCTTATATGTGATTGCTTCACTAAGTAAATCCTCCCATCGCAAAAGATTCCTCTTCATCCCCCACAACACACCCCCTCGCTGCAGGTGTGCAAAGTCACATGGCAAAAGGCTGTCAAGTGTCTCCTGATTGTCAGGCCACCCTAGACATCCAAAACCCTTCAAAGCCCCTCCTCGAAGTCCCCCAACATCCCGGCTGTACCCCGAGCACTGCCCC